TCAAAAATTGTTGAAATATGTTCTTTCGTGATATTACTAGCATATGTGATTTTTTGGCATAATGAGACTGATTTGTCTCTTTTTTGAGACTAAGTTCCCGGGCATTCAGAGATAAGCTTCCGTAAAAAGAAGTAATCTCGTTGGTGTAGAATTTGACGCTCTTTCTTATGGTATCCTTGAAAAAAAAATACATCTGGTTTTTATATGAAAATAAATTTTTTTTCTTAAGTTCCTTACCAAATCCCTTATCTTGAGTATCTTTATTTTACCTTTTCACAATTATTAATGTCTCAAAGTTTGTTGTCAATAATTATGTGGACGATACAATTTTTAATGCTCTATCTAATGGTATAGTTTAAATCTAGTTTTATTACATTAAACAATTGGAAACCTTTTTTTTTGAGCTAAAATAGGGTTATTGTGGGATATAGGTTTTCCACCCTTTCATTTCTTCGACCATAGAAAAGTTAAAGTATAGCTTATATGAGCCTATATTTTTTCAGTAGATAACTAATTATCTCCTCTTTCGAATAGATACTAACAAGATTTTTTTTGACTTAAAAAAAGAACATTAAGGCAATACTTTTATACTCCAGAGAGGGGGGTCTTATAATTATGCAAAGAGTGAAATTCAAAATTTCTTGAATCTAAATATTATTAATATTTAACCAAATAGAGATCAATATAGCACATGATAGATGCTTTAGCAGTGTCTATATATATGACATTAGATCCCTTATCAAAGCTTCTTTAGTTGCTGAAAACCTTATTATTCTCAAATTTGTACGGGGGTCTTATAATTTTGGGAACCCCTGTATTAATATTATTCTTTTCTCATTTTTTTTTCAATAAATATTCTTCAAGATGAAATTCTTTCTTATGAATTTAATATTAACAAGATTAATTTATTAATAAAATTTTTCTTTTCTATCAAATACGCTACTTGAATATAATATTAGAAATTAGTTTTCATATAAATCTCTCGAAAGATAAAAATACCTTACACTTGAGCTTATAGCTCGAAAATGATTTACACACAAAACAAAAGATTAACAATTCGATTTATTCTTCTCAGTTAATTGCAAATGATTTCTATTTTATAAAGTTCTAGATTTGAAAATATTTTCTTTTAGATCAAAGAGGTTCTTTTTTTTATAAATTCAATAAAATTAGAACCCAGACAATATAAAATCCAATGAAAAATATTCGCCTATGAAAACTTATTTAAAAATCTATGAATTATCGGTTAAGTAGATATTGTAAAAAAGATCAAATAAAAAAAAAAAAGAAAAGAAAATGTACCGTTACAGCCGTTCCTTGAATGAGTTCATTTGGCATTTCATCATTTGTTTTATTGAGATCTTGTTCCGCTAATTTTTTTCTTTCTTCAATCCAATTATTTTCTTGAAATGTAATTACAATCCAAAGACAATTTAAAATCATCCTGACTGGATTATATACCATTCGTTTTGCTGTTGAAATAATTTCATTAAATTCATTTATTAAATTAACCAATAATAGATAAATATACATAATTCTTTTTAAATCGACGACAATTTTATTGTCATTTTCATAGGTATAGAATAAAAAGTGTTTGGTGAGAGTATATATATATATTGTGGGAGACTATTGTCATCCGTAGTCAAAGAAAG